CCACATTATTTAAGTTGTTCGAGTATTGTTTTAGCATAACGATGTTAACTCAAATAATAAATATTCACATTTTTTTGGGACGTTTTTTAAGGAAATTAAAAAAAAACATGAATAATGTGATATTCTTGTTTAGTTGTGTACTATATAATATAGTTCATTAGGTAGTGATTTAGAAGAAAATTATGTTCTATTTATAGAATAAAAAATCACTCATAATATCTAAATATTTATACCTATTTATATTTTGGACTATTTTATGTTTTTGGCTCTGAATAGTTTTCTTAAGAATTTTAAAACCTTCCTTAGCTCTTTTGGGATATTCCATGCATATCTTAGAAGTTCATTTTGTTTAAACCTAAAACAAATTAAGTACAAAAAATGAACATTTAAACAATACACAAAATTATTCTTTTAGATTAGTTAAAAAAAAGTGTCAACGAAAAAATGGCTATGCCTTGTTCCTTAAACATTCTTTTTGAAAGGAAATTAAGTTTCTCTACTTACTTGCTGTTTTAGTATTTTAGTAGCAGATGAATATAATGTAGAAGTAGTGACAGGATTGATTATTATACTTCCTTCGTCGAAATTGCATTTTTATTTAATATTTTCCTTCCCTGAGGTCTGTAATAAAAATGTTCATTAGCATAAAAAGTTATTCAGGTGGTCACTTGTTGAATTCCTATATTTTGGAACCATATATTTCTTTTTCATATCAAGAAAAGGAAACCTAAAAAAAATAACAATAAACTTTACAAAGATGTGATATTAAAATAATATTAAGTAATTAACCTTTACTATAATCATTATGAGACGAATAAAGACGAACTTAGCTGGAGTTTACTTGCTCTTAATTTTAATAAGAAAATAAGAAAGTTTAATTGCAAATTAAAGGTGATTGCCTAATGCACCGCCTCTGATAATTAGGTTGTGTCTGTACTTACTTATGATATTATCTTGAAGAAGCATTTTCAACAGGACTTTTACACATAAAGCATGTTTTCACCATATTATTAAAGATAATAAATCTTAAATATACATTTACAACCCTTACAACGTTATAAATAATAATATTTTCCGTAAAATACAAATAAGAAATTGACATGTCTCAGAAAGTGTCAGAACTGGCGCTCACAAAACACTTCTGGCGCTGTCAAACTTGGCAACGCTGATTAAATAAGCCAATTACAGAAGAGGTATTTTTCCCCTCGGGGGGAGTAGATGTTGCTAACAAAATTTAGCGCGGGGAAGGGGGGAAGACTCCCTCTAGTAGTAATTGCTCGGAGGTCCTCTCGATACCAAACTAAAAGTTATTATCGCTTGGGTTGACATGCGCACTGCGTACACCGTAACGAACAAGGCCCGTTTTTTTTGTTTGGATTTGACGTTTAATACATGGCGGTGTTTTTAAATTAAATTGTTTTTTAGATTTTTTGCTTAATTATGTTTGTTCTTGTATAGTATCTAATTTAATTATGCGTGATGAAGAAGGTGATGATTTTCTCTCAGACTTATCGTCTAGTGAAGACGATTTAGAACATGCTCTAAATGAACATAAAGTTAAAAATGAGAACTATTTAGTTAATTCCCGCCAACTGAAATTGTCAAACAGCATCTTTCGATACTGAAAGTGGTACATAAATTCGTTTCATCCCGGTAGAGTGTGATCCCATCCACAAGACAGTGCCAGGGGGCTTATTAACCAACGTTTTTGAAAGCAGTTAGCGCGTTTCTCTAGAAACGCGACAAACAACTCACAAAAGCGTAAAGCACGAACGTTATGGTATTCTTTACTTGCTGTGCCGTGCGTATTTCGAAAACGTAATGCGCTTTCAAAAAAGTTGCAGATGAGCAGCGTTTTGCTGTTCGCACTTCAGGTTTTGACAGATTTGTGGACGTAGATAAGTCAAACACTTAAAATATGGACTTAAATATTAATATATATCAAAATGTTATTCAAAACATCGAAGATGCTGAAAATCGAGAAATCCGACGCTACTACCCAGCTAGCACATAACGTTGACAAGACTTTCGGCGATGTTACATTAAGGGAACGTAATAACATTACTATACAACGTAAATGCAAAGTTCATGAGAAGTTGTTGAGGGAAATCAAAACCTCGCAAAACTTCTATTTGTTATTTATCTAGTTAACCTACCTGTTATGTTAACACAACGTAATAAGTAATTTGCTAAAAAGAACAAGAACTGTTTATGTCAATTGTCACTTGCCAATGTTTCTTGTCATATGTCATGTTTGTTTTTTTTTTAATTTGCAGAATTTCTTTTATAATTATTATTAAAAACATTTGAGTAGAAGTGGTATTACATTACACAAAGAACAACATAATGTGTCCATGGATGGACTTAATTATTATACTTGTAAAAATATTTATTTTTAATTAAAAAAAGTTATTTTTCATAATTTCTTAATGTGAATCGAATTTATTTAACAAGTAAATTATGAAGAATTACTTTTTTAATTTAAAATAAATATTTTCACAAGTATAGTTAAGTCCATCCGTGGACACACTGTATAATGCAGTAGAACTAATTCACATTATAACATCTATAGAAAGTTTCAGAGCAACTTTCAGGGTAAGTACCGTAAAAGTGCTAGTGTGATGTTTTCCGAACTTCACTTTTTAACTTCTGTGAGATGTGCTATAAAAGTCTTGCCGTTGCGGACATTCGGTGGTTGCAGGGATATTAGGGTTACATTAAAAATACATTGCATGTAAGCTTAAAGAGCCTAAAATTGCAGCTTATTAACGTAGATGGGATGTTTTTGTGCTAGCTGAGTATAATCCGGAGAATGCTTTCGAACTTTCAGATAAAAAATGCATTTTTTGAGACGGCTTTTGGAAGAATAAAGAACTTTGTAAATAAGAGTTAGAACTGGCCCAAATCGGGTTTCCTAGGGTTTTCGAGGTAGCTTATCACGATTATAATGTTCAAAATGATCTACAGCCGACCTGGAGCTCAGGAACGCCGATGAACGTCATCTCCGTGGGACTCTCCCGAAATGCATGCGTGGAAGGTGAGAAACTCGGCGCCCGGGGGTTTTTTAGCATCGGCGAACAACCCCCGGATATCTGGTGTGCCGGAACCTGGACGTGGCGTCAAATTTCACGTCGAAATCGATCTCTTGAATTTCTAGTGTACCGGAACCTGGGCCTGAACGTCGTCTTCGAGGATTTTCCTCACACCATCGAAAAAGACGAACCCAAAATCGTTATGAGGGGTTTTTTGGGGCGCTGAATCCGAATTTTACGTCGAAAACGACCCTCCTAATACCTAATGCACCAGAACCTTTATCTTAACATTGATGTCATTCCCATGAAACCTGATGTTTTAGAGACGGACATCAATACTGCTATAGCTGTGTGGAATTGTTGATTCTAGTTAAATAATGTGGTGAGAAATTAAATCGAATGAATAGAAAGTGAATATTCAAACCCAGTATTTAGAATTTTACAGGACTGGATCAAATTTTTTGAGGGCCCCAGGCGAGAGTTACACATCAATGAATGTGTGAAATTATGAGACAATTTTCGGTTAGTCTTTTGCGATCGTGTCTGGAAAACTCTCGGAGATAACGTTGAGCCCAAGGTTTCGGTGCACCAGGTGTTGGAAGGGACGTTTTCGACGTGAAATTCGGATTCAGCGCCCCAAAAAAACCCTCATAACGATTTAGGTTTCGTATTCTTCGATTGTAATCCTCTGAGAGGACGTTCAGGGCCATATTCCGGTGCACTAGGTATTCGGGGGATCGTTTCAGACGTGAAATTTGGATTAAGCGCCCAAAAAAACGTTTCTACAATTATTTTCAGGTTGTTTTTGGCGATCTTAACAGGAAATACTCGGGGATGACATCCACGTCAAGGTCTGGGTGCACCAAGTATCCGAGAGGTGTTCTCCGATGCCACATTGAATTCACCGCCCTAAAAAAAAACCATATAACGATTTTCGGTTCGTCTTTTTTGATTGTGTGAGGAAAACTCACGGAGACGAGGTCAACGTCCAGGTTCCGGTGCACCAGGTGTTCAGGGGGTCGTTTTCGACGTAAAATTTGGATTCAGCGCCCCAAAAAATGCCCCAAAATGATTTTCGGATTGTTTTTGGCGATCTTGTCGGGAAAATTCTCGGGGATGACGTCCACGTCCAGGTTCCGGGACACCAGGTGTCCGGGGGATCTTCGCCGTTTCCATATTTGAATTCAGCAACCCAAAAAAAACTCCCGAGCGCCGAGTGTCTCTCCTTCCCCGCGTGATTTTCGGGAGAGTCCCATGGGGATGACGTTCATCGGCGTTTCTGAGCTCCAGGTCGAGTGTGGGTCAATTTGAACATCATAATCGTGAGCACCGACCTTCAAATTTTTATTGATCGGATATAAATCCATCGTTAACTAATCAAATTTGTTCAGAATTACTAACGTAAGTATAATAAACCTGTGATTATAAAAAGAGGGCATAAAGTAAATTTGGCCAAAAAAAGTGACACTTTAGGAATGTTAATAAATCCGTAAAATGTCATTTTTTATGTCAGTCGCCTAAAAAAATATTTCCAAGTGGTCTGGTGTCTTTAAAAAAAAAGCGGATGACTTTGAGATGTTACATGATGCTGCTTTCGACCAATTGAGTTTACTGAATTTTATTATTAACTAGTGACAATTCCACACTATTAGCGCTATTGTATCTACATTGTTTACCATCCAATCCTTGTCATCTGGTTGTCATCATATTTCGTAGAAGGGTTAAATATATTTTTTTATTTCATCTCTTAGACTGATATTCTTTACTTTAAAAAAAATGTCATTAATAATCGTACTAATTATTATATTACCTTTGAAAAAAATACAATAAAATTGTTTCCAAATTTAATCAAAAGTTTTATTGTAAGAAAATTTTTCAGCATGGTCCTCATTTACCCATTTTTTATTTATATTGCTATTTAAGAATTCATAATATATTATTCTATAAACATCGAAATTTCTATTTTAGGTGGCCATGGTACACTTTTGGGATTAATAAACTGTTTTATTCACGTAATAATGTATTCATATTATTTCCTGTCATCGTTAGGACCACAATACCAAAAATATCTATGGTGGAAAAAACATGTGACGGCTCTCCAAATGGTAAATATAAAATTATTTTCTTAATAAGTGGTTTTCCTAGACCTAGTCAATAAAACTGTAATATACTGTGTCTGTTAGAAAATAATATTAATGTAATACTAATTTATACGAAGTCTGGGAAATTGATTTTTCTGACTTGCAACTTATTTTGTTATTGATTGCTGGATAATTTCGGTTGGTAGCGGATAATTTTCTAACCAAGATGTTGAAAAGTTTGCAATTGAAATTCAAGATACTGCTAGGCTAAATACATCTGAAATCAAAAATTAACAATGGAAAACAATTATCCTTTTGAAATAAGACAACTAGTAGCTAAAAAAACAGTTAAACAAAAAGTGGCAAAGAACAAGAGCACCAGATACCAGACGTCAAAACAAGGCTGAAGAGAGGAGCCCAAAAATGTGTCCATTAACAAATATTTACAAGAACTAAGAGATGGTATTGAAACAAAATATTCCCTCTGGAAAGTAACAGTACAAACTAAAAAGATCATTGACTAACTGCCCACCACAAATCAGAACTGCAAATGGAAGCTGGGCAAAGTCAAATCAAGAAAAAGCCGAAACATTCTAAAATCACTTTTCATCCAACCGAAAATACAGCCAGGACACAGGAATTGCTGTCGTGTGAAGGTGAAGATTTAGACATTATTCCAATAATAGCGAAAGAAATAGCAGATGAAAATAACAAAAACGTAAAATCAAAAAAGCTTCTGGCTATCACTTTATAGCCGGAGATCTTCTTAAGAAGCTACCTAGAAAAGCATTGGTTAAACTCACTTATCTAAAAAATGCAGCATTTCTGCTAAAACATATACCAGATTCCATGGAAAATAACCGAGGTAATAAAGATTGACAAATTAAGCATCATCGTACTATTCGTACTATCACTAATTATTATGTCTATTCAAGAAAATATGCTGAAGCAACCAACGCCTTTTATTATAAAGAAAAAAATTAATTCCTACGCATTACTTTTGGTTTAGGAACAAGCATTCAACAATTGACCAAATACGCCACATAACAGTCAAATTTGAAAAATCGTAAGAGAGAAAGCAAATTAGAGAAACTGTTACCTAAACAATATACTGAGATTTTTAATTACTGGTAGATTATTCCAAGTCAATCAGAAGGGACCATTTTCTACAGAAAAAAATAGTAACGCAGGTGTAATACGTGGCAGCGTGCTAGGATCACTGCCTGTTGTACACTTGTGATATATTAGAAACCAAAAATGTTAGGATCGCTGCTTATGCTAACAACACAGCTATTCTAGCAGCAGTGAGACGACAACGAAGAAACTATTTGTAAACTACAAAAGGCATCTATTAAGAATTGGAAACAAACAATATTACCAATAACTTCAAAATAAGGAGATACCACATTATGATACTAAAAAGGCCAAAGAACAGGCCCGAGAAAGCTCAGATAAGGCTATTACTGGCCCCGAACCCTTCCGTAGTGTTGTCAAGGCATTGTGTAAGGCATCTATCAAACAATAGATGCAAACAGTCTCGGGAATTGTAGAACAACTATCCAGGATTGCGACGGGCCAAACAGTTCTTTAAGGAACCATCGGACAAGTTCATTAAAGATCTACTGAATCAAAAATGACAATGAAAATCATTCTGATGACAGGTAAATCTTCTTACAGAACACTGTGGCCTAAGAAGACAACATGACTGTTATCAATCTAACTGAGGTGTCCGAATAATACTTTTATTACTATATTATTAACTTTATTAACTGGGAAAAATACAATCAGAGAGAATATAGTTCTTACCCCGAGCGTGGCACATGCAAGAAGAAGGATGAGAAGTGAGCAGTGACATTATGAAAGTTGTTAAATGAGTTACGATATTTCGGTGCGTTCCGATGTTACATCTCAATATACTAACAGAACAAGCAACATTGTGCAGGTTTTGTGAAGAATAACGGGAAATGCCAATCCACGTTCTGTGTCAGTGTGAAGGCCTGACTCGATTGAGCTGAAGAAACGCCAGAAGCATGTAGCTACATGCGAGAGACACCGTTAAAGCTACTAAATTTAATAAAACAGACCAAGCTTGATGCCATTCCATTCGAATCTATTCTAATATGCTGTAAAATATCTGGGAGTGAACCTAGATGTTCAATTAAAATGGAAAGAACATATAAAGAAGAAAGGAAAGAATCTGACTTAAAATATCAAAAATGCTTTATATATTTAATAAATTATTGTTATAAAAACCGATTATAAAACCAGTCTGAATATGTGGTACTAAGAGCGATATCTAAAGACAAAATTCAAATATTTCAGAACAAATTGTTTTGAGATATTGTAAACCCACCATGGTATTATAGGAATGATTATAGACCATATAGGAAGGATATACCGACTCAAAGAAACTCAAGATATTTGCTAGAAAACTCGAAGAAAGACCCTGACAATATCGAGGTCCTAGAGTTCCTAGATAATGCATGCACAAAAAGAAGACTCATAAGGATTAAATCTTTTGAGCTTAGATGTAGTTATTAGGTAGTAAATAGCATTAGAGCTGAGTATAGTGAAATAAGCTAGAATTGTGTAAAAGCTTAAGAGACACCAGTGGGATAATTTTTGTAAAGTACGTTAATTTTATTAAATTAAAATATATTGTAGGTACAAAAATTCATCAAAAAAAAAAGTTAAATATCACATAAAAACGAGTAATTTGGATATAATACATGTAAAACATTTTTGACCTTTTTTGCTGTTCAAAAATGGTGGGAGACATCATAGAATTTTTCCAAAATATTTAAAATCATAGAACTTTGAACGACACACACAAGTGCCTTTTTTAATTTTAGAACGGGAGAGACATCGTTAGAATATTGAAAAACTGATGAGTACCGTTTTTTTAACGTGTGAGGAACTAAATTAAATTAAAGGCAGTACACGGAAAGTATGATAGATACAAATTTTTGTTAGTGATTTACCCCTCGGAGGAACTCATTTTTATCGAATCATATTTAGTGATAAGTGGATCTATTCGCCTTCAGCCATTAGCAACACTGGTTATAAGTCAGAAAAATGTATTAGTATGTTAGTTGAATACTTACAGTATTTTGATATTAATAAAAAAGCGTAGAAGTAGGAATTTCGAATATTGTTAGCCACTTTATATATAAATGTATCAGACCCTAAATGGACCGTGATGTCGTGACGTCAAAATAAAGTTGGTAACATGTATAAAAATCTGTTTTTACACAAAACACGATACCATAGCAACGATGTTAGACATGTTACTATTATGGAGATCCTCTATCATCTATAGGAAACAAATACTTTGTCTACACGAATATGTCTGGTTTGATTCTGTCACATACTTTGATTACTATACGAGGCAAGAGAGAGGTCCGACACGCCCAACATAGGGCGCAGCCATTTTGAACCCTGTGACACAGTTTACAGCTAAAGAAACATATCGCTCACTCTGCGACGGCACTTTGGATCTCAATGTTCCAGTTTATACACTGTGCAACTCGGATAATACAATATATGACAACCGCCTATAATAAAACAACAGTCTTCTGCGTATCCTGAATTTGTATCCCTGGAGTGGATGTTATTTTGGAACTTTCAACTGGTTCGAGTGAGCTAACTGATTCTTTAGCAATAAACTGTGACTTCAAAAATAAAATTCACTGACACTGACAGCAGCAAGCAAAATATCAGGTGCGTTTTAATCATCCGCTTCTGCTTCCGGAATTGTCGGTTTAGTCGTTTTAACCTGTCAGATTAAAACAAGAAAACTGACAATTCCGAAGCAGAAGCGGATGATTAAAACGCACCTATTAAAAATATTGCACCAAGATGTAGGCAACACGTAATAAGGGTTCAAAATGGCGGAGTTTTCTATCTCCTTTTAAAAGGCACTCAGAAAGCTGCGCAGTGCGACCATTCTCCGTTTAGTAAAAGAAAATCAAAGTATGTGGATTCTGTATACAGTGGTGTTCCTCTTTATTCTATCTCAATGAGTTGAACTATGAAAATTCGTTCTGTTGGTGTATTTTATAAACGCAAGACGAATTTGCACAGTCAAGTCTGAGACGAATAGGAAACTTTAGGATTGGCGCTACCTTATATTTGGTTTTAAATACATTTTATTTTTTAGTTCCAGTTCTGCATAGTATTCTGGCACAATTTCCAAGTCCTGTTCAGACCATGTGATTACCCTAAATTCTTGAATTTCCTTCTCGCAACGCAAGCAGCATACTTCTTCTACCTCTTTGGCTGCTTCTACGTAAACAGCTACTTAAAGAACAAAAATAAATCGAAATCTCAAGACAATAAGTCTATCACTGCACAAAATGGCCACGCTCAGAACGGAAAAGTGCAAAATGGAGTTATTTTGGAAAATGGATCCCACGCAAATGGAAACGCAATAGAAAATGGTTCTTTGCCGAATGGAAACATAAAGGAAAATGGTGTTTCTCAAAACGGAAAGACGAAAGTTCAATAATTTAGTTGTGTTATTTAAAATTTATTAGATATAAATTTAAGAAAATTGACAATAACTTTTTAAATTTTTAGGATGTCTTGTTAATTATTTGTAAATATTGCAAAGATAGGTTTGACTGTGATTTTTTTATAAACTAGTTTAACAGGGTTCTTCTACAGCATTTAGTTACCTATCTGTTTTCCAATATTTGGAATAATTTGCTGAATACTTTTACAGGGTGTCCTGAAAAGATGAGGGATGATTCTACTCTAAAAAATAATACTAAAGTTTATATAGCGTTTTTTGAAAAATCGTAAGTAGCTAAATTACAGGGTGTCGATAAAAAATCAGGCGATCTGGGAGCCCACGGCACAAATCCACCGCGTCCTATCCATCTGTCAGAAAAACATTCGTCAATTTGTTTATTTTATAATATAATTTCCTAAAATAGCCTAAAAAAATGGATATGGCAACGACGCATTACATCAACAGTTGTAAGAACCGATCTTGCGCATAACCGCTGGGACATAAAGTTGATTATTTAACATTTGTCATATTTTAAAATTCTGTGTCTTAAACTTGATCTGTTTAATTTAGGATTGTTTAGATATTCAAGAAATGATGTTTAATGGTTAAAAATTGAGTGCCGAGGTGAGTTAGTTGTATGTTTGTTATAAGTTATACAACATAAACAAAAACAGGTTAGTTTTACTTATAAATATTACCGATTTTAATTTGGTGCAATAGAATTAACAATAATTTTGAAATTTAGATATGCATTAACATAGATTTGAGGTACATTTTAGTTTAATAAAAGTTTTTAAATTATGTGCAGCTGTAGTTTTACCAAAAAAACAAAAACGAAGAAGCAGTTTAATCAGTGTAAAACTCAATGATTGGTTAGAATCGCGAGTTCTAATTAGGCATTCAAACGACCTGTCAAAATGCTGCGACTGGGAACTGACAGTTAAGATAAGGCAACCCTGTGGGCCTGTTGTCATTGAAAGTGTGAATTATACATATATATTTATATAGATTGCTCAAAGCTGGTCGTTTGCGAGAGGCCATATTGCTTGGCAAGTGTTCATTAATTTAAATTGGTTTAGCAAAAATGTGTTTTAAAACTAATTTTCAGTATTTGAATAGTAAAATAAAAATAATTACCTACATTTTAACTTCAAGGCATATGCTTATTTTTATTTTTGAAAATATGGAAGATCAATCTATATAACTATCTATATCAGTGATCATTTCAAAACACCAGTACAGGGATTCTTATGTGCGTACTCAAAACGTAACGAATTGAATAGAGTGAGACGAATCGCATTCTGTGGAACGAAGATAGTCGTCTCAACACGTGCCGAATTGAAAGATGAGAATCCAAATGCAGGTCCACAATGTTGTCATATTTATAACATCATGTGCCTGTCATTTCCTACGGGTAGCCATTTTCTTTGGAATGCCTAATAGGCTAAAATCACAAAATTTGACAAAATTAAAAAAATAATATGTCATAATTTATTTTATAAATTTGTCTCAAGAAAACTCCAGGGCATGTTTGATAAATAAAAATAAGCTAAAATTAATCGGAATTAATTCATTGGATAAAATTGTTACACGGCCATTTTCTTAGAAACGTTGTATCGTAGTAGAACAAGCAGAGGATATGTCTTAAAGCTTTTTAATGGTCTTGATTTGTAAGTTTCCAAAATTTATAAAAAACTTTGAGCAAAAAAGTTTTAGGACATTCTCTTAAGCTCATGGGATATTTAGACATTTTAGCATTAAGGGATTTATGTCAAATTTGGTCTAAAACTACAAAACAATATTACTAATAAGTGTACCAAATTTAAAGTTAATCGACACACTAAAAAAAATATATGAAGAAAAAATCATGAGAACATATTTTTTTGACACCCTGTAATTTCGCTATTTTCGAGTTATCAAAAACTCTATATAAACTTTAGTATTATTTTTTCGAGTAGAATCAACCCTTAAATTGTTTGCTCGTCATTTCCGGACATACTGTATAACCTCAGTTCAAATTATATTACTTTTATTTATTCTGAAAATTCTAAATATTTAAAGGTTTGTTATTTATTCTGGAAAAAATGTAGGGCATTAAATTAATAATTTTTTGAACGAAAATTAAATTAGTTTAGCAAATTAAATTAAGAACCCTACCTAACTACAATTTCCTAACATATAGTTCTCTTCGGTTATTTAATTAAAAAATACACCTATCAGAGATAACTGGGAAGTACAGCAAAACTATAGGAGCACTTATACGAGAGGACTAGAAGGTATAGTTGCAGATTTCAATAATCAAAACTTTCTTTTTATGGAAATAATAATAAATATCTTGTTTTTTTTTAGAAAATAGAAAAGCTTTCAATTTAAAATAATATATTTTTGTAAATTCTTACATTTTCCTTTATATATTTTTACTTTTATTTTTGATGTACCCAGACAACACACCAAATCCCAGAGATATCTACAGAATATCTTTTGTGGATATCCAATATGGATATAGAATTCAGATATTCAGCAAAATATTTTATAGGTATCTTTAGCAAAGAATACATACCCAAGAAGCGAAACTGAATGAGTTTTTCTATGTACCAAAGTAGCAGCGACCTTGACGTAAATGGGAACTTAATACACTGGGAAACGTATAATTCCAATCAATTTTTGTTGTTTGGTTCATGAGAATTAAACACATATTAAAGTTAAAATGACGGAAAATTCTTACTATGTTCAATAGATAATGTTAATAATAATAATAATAATTTTAGTAATAAGTACTGTAGGTAGCTGAGAATGTATTTTGATTGCATGATCCTGATAGCAGCGACTTGGTTCCTCAGAGTGAGTCTGTCATATATATTACTGTTTTAATCCTTACTATAAAATTGTTTATATGTATATTATTTAATGGATTAAATCGATCACAGTCCGTATGGTTTGAAAAACAAAATAGTGATTTAATTTTTGGAAATAGTCGAAAAATCTGGGGGTACTTTGTAGAAGGTTGTTTTTCTACTTTATGGAATATATCTGATATTTACGCTTGGAGAAGAAAATTCTTTAAATAAAAATTGCTTGTAATTTTATTCTCTATAATTTTTGTCATTTAAAATGGTCCGTATTCGAGAAATTTGACAAAAAATGCAAGATTCTAATTTTTGGAATTGAAAAATGTATTTCTTATTTAGTTCATCCTTAGATTATTTTGATCAATAAGCAATAAGAAACATAGCAATAAAAAAATGTCTAGGCATCCTCAGACGTACCAAAAACCAGGATTGGCAGGTGGGTAATTTCACATTAAAGCGACATATACATGTCTTTCTAATTTTTTCAAATATATAATTATTTTATATCTTTAAAATGATATCAACTACGAGAAATGAATTACTATCTTTAAAGAACAATAAGTTTTGTTTCCAAAGAAGCAAGATTATTTTGAAAAATTTCCCTGACACGTCCTTAAGCCATTCATATCTTAAAAAAGGTCATAATATAAAAGTTATTTAAAATTACATTATCAACATTATAATACAGTTTTATCCAAGTATTTTCCATGTGCCAAGGCCCTTAAAAGCGCAAAAAAATTATTTATTTCGAAAATATAATAAATATTTAAATTGTCCTCAATGTCTTATGTAATTCAATTTGAGCTGTGTCCAGGCCGTTGGAGTCTATGCTGGTCGGCGTAGCCAGATATGGGTTATTGTTTTTTGGTGGCGGCGAAGCCACTTTACGATTTATCGTAGGGTGGCGGCTACGATAAGTCCTTGCTTTTTTTCTTGTTGCATATTTATGGACCGGTATGGGCAATCACAATTTTCCATTAACTACTAATTTTATCACAATCTGGCAACGTTGCAATTATATTTTCCAAATTTGACATTACGAGTGTGGAAAGTGACATTTTTCACACAAGTGGGAAATATTGTCGCACGAGGCACAAGCTGAGTGCGACTATCACACGAGTGTGGAAAATCACTTTTCACAAAAATGATGTACAATATTTTTTCTACGACCACAAAATAATGACATCAAAAAATGTAAAACCAGGTTATTATTACTATAATAATTAAAATGTATTTAAAAAAATAATCAACAATAATCGTATTTATTCAATTTTCACACTTTCTACACAAAAAAAATACTAAAAATAAAAAAAGAACCAAAAAAAAATTCTGGCCCCGCCAAGATTTGAACGCGGTCGCTCGCCAAGTCTCAAATGGCAAAGTTAATAAATTCGACGTTCTAACCATCTGAGCTAATAGCACTTACGTCAATTGAATGATCTAATCGGTTATCCATTTAACCAGAATAAAAAGCAAACATATCTTAGTTATTTTAAAATTATTTTAATAATAATTGTTAAAGATAAATATCTAGGATCTAATTTACAACAATTTCAATAATTTAACAATCATATCGATTTTAGTATTAATATGGACATTACATAGATCAAAATAGAAATATGTTTAACATTTTCTGACAGTTACTGCGGAAAGTAGCATATTCGTACACGGGTGGAAAGTAAATTCTTATTCATACGCGTGTGATATAGGGCACTTTCCATAGTGTGATATGTGTCATTATCCTAAGTGGTCGTAGGAAAATATCATAGCTTCGTCTGCATTTGGAGAATACTGTGGGTACAGCATTGTCAAATAATCGTCTTCTATAAGATGTACTGTTTGAAAAATATTTTTCTTCAAAATGTTGTTCACATATTCTATATGAAGATAAGCCACTAGGAACTGTGAAATTTAAATCTTCACGATTACAAGCTTTTAACCAGAGTTGAGCTCTACAAAATTATATTTATTAATACTTAATTTTTCTAAATAAATTTGAACAGTAACATTTCAGTACATACCTTATGGCATCTCCTGTGAATTTAAACATTGTTAGCCCTTGTTCTGAAGTTGTAACACAACCACGAACAACGCAATGTATTTTTTTCATTGTAATAAAAACCTTTAAACTATCTAATATATAAT